AATAATAATAATAATAATAATAACAATAATAATAATGATAATAATAATAACAATACTAATAATATAATAATAATAAGTAATAATAATAATAATAATAATAATAATAATAATAATAATAATAATAATAATAATAATATAGCCGGAAAAGAGCCTGCCTGATATGGGGTGAATGCATATGACATTAGCCTTATTTTAATTCAATATTTATCAAAATTGCTTTAATGATTGAATTGATATGATATTTCAGTACTAAAATTCGGTACATTTTACCATTCTTTTTAACAATTTATAAAGCATTACACTGATTCTATTTGAAATTGATATAATACTTCAGAATTAGAGTAGTATCTTTCATTTGATTAAGATCGATATCTTAACATCTGCTAGAATACGATTCCCATTTATGGGTAGTTAAAAATAGTTTTCAAAATTTTGAAACATTCATCCTCATATATATGCAATCCATTTCTTTTTTTTTCCTCTAGTTTCAATTCCACCATATCTATCATTCTACCCTATTTATCATCTTTCTAAGAATGGAACAAATCAAGATGAGATCATTTTTTTTTTTGCTCTTACTCGATAACATCTCATATTAATCATTTATCAAATGATATAATGTAAATCAGTGATGATTTATGTGATACTATTGTTGATTTGATTGGATAACAAAAAGAATTAAGAATGAAATAGAATCATTGTATTATATATCATCGTATGTATACATCGTTCTTTCAGCATTTTACTTTTTTTTTTATTTCTTTCTTTACTTTTTTTTCTTCATAAAATTGGAAAACAATTTTATATGAATAAAATATACAGTACTACTATTAGATTCTGCCATACTTTTTCTCTTCCATATTTATTTTCATCTCTCCCATTAAAATTAAAAACTAATTGAAACAGAGTGATTAATCTGGATATATTAATTAATTTCGTTAATTTCTCTTATACTTTTAGATTAAACAATTTATTGCTTGCTGGATTACTACCATTTTTATCCAATTTCAATTTTTATATATTTCAATTATTATATACAATGCATAACTCTGCTTAAAAACAACTTTCTCCCTTTCTCTCTCTCTCTCTTGGCATTTATCACCAAATTGATGTTGATCAATTAATTTCACTCCCGGTACTTTGCTTAATTTCTATTGTTCCTAGATAAACTTGCAGCATTTCCATACAGGGCTTGTACACTGATTATAGATCTTTAAATATCGCTTATTAGTATCCCCTCAAACTTTTAAATATTCATGTTATTATTAAACAGTTTTATTCTGAAATTTTGTGATGTCATTTGATTAGAAATTAAAAAATGAAAACTTTCTATTAAAATTTTATAGCAAAAAAAAATCCATTCTACCAATAATGACTTATTTTCTATCTGATAACAAAGTGATAATCGTTATCATTATGCACTATGAACTGCTAAAATGCATGAAGGAAAAAAAAACACTTGGAAATACCAGCATTCCCAGATATTTGAATCATTGTGCTTGCCCTTGCTGTTGATTTTTTTTTATATGCTTAATTTTTCATCATTTGTTCCTTTATGTTAAGGAAATGTTGATTGATTAATTGATTACCCGTTCAACGGGGTTTTTTTTTGTCGTTTTAAATCAATATATATGTTTGATCATATATATACATATACAACATGTACACATGTAATTGTTTAAAAGTTTCTCTGGAACATATTATTGAGTGATAATTTAGAAATGACATCATACCATTATTGTTATTAGCTAGCTGGTTTTCTTTTTTTTTTTTGAGAGATAAATATCCACACTTCCAAGTGCTTTCTCAATTTTCTGTTTTTGTTTTTCTTTTTCTCTGTTTCTCAACTTTTTAAAAGAAATGGTCGCTTGCATCTGCGAATTATCTATCTTTTTTCACACTGCATTCGTCCTTTCTTGCATGAAATATTTAAGTTTTTCTAGAAAAAAGGTCCATTTATTCTTTTCTTTTTTCTTGATAAGTTTTGTTGCATTTTCTTCACTTGTTGACATTAACTTGCCAACGATCTCTGAATAATAAGGGTTTTGCTATTACTGAAAAGAAACTTTGTAAATGAAAATTCCCGCTTGAATTTGTAGAATTGATAGAGAGGAGGTGGTTAGTACCAGGCACCCCATGAATTTTCAGACAAATCATTGTTCAGATGCAAGCGAAAATATGTCTTTTTTTTCCTTATAAATTTGTATTAGGCACCAGAGATGCCTCTAAATCCTTTTTTTTTCTCGTTTAAACTGCATACCAATAAATTTGCCACATTCGAAAGACTCTTTTCTCCGGAGATTCTCTTCTCTTTCCAGTTATTCAGTTACTGGGATATTTTCCGGAATATCTTCTGACAATAATGATATACAACTGCATGCTAAGCATATGGTTACGAAGAAATCCTGAACAAGAGAGATTTTCGATGCCATCCGATGTTATTCCGTTTAATTCACTCAAGGCTAGCTGAAAAGAATACCAGTGATATAGAAGGCCAACCTTCTTGACAAATGAATGATGTATCCCAGAAGTAGACTGTTCTCTACACTGAGGCATCATACTGATAAAATGTTACTGCTTTTCATTGTCGTGTACAGCAGAGATTTTAAATATTTTTTACATTTAATACGCATTCATTCCACGTCAATTCTTGTAATTTTTAAGAAAAGATGTTTTGCACATTAAACGGGATGAAATCCGTACATGCATTCGCCTTAAGTTGGTTTAAAACCATAAAATCTGGAAAATCAATTCGTAGGGGAGTTTATTCACTAATATAAATTATAAGTAATGAAAACACGATTCAACAATCTTATCGACCTGTGTCATAATAGCAGTAATGGAACTGAGACACAACTTTAAGTAGGTGGTCATCATTAAAGCGATACAGCAAATTTTCTCGAAAGACTTATGCAGAAAACCCATGAACTGTTCAGCCTATACTTTTATCATTACTTGTCATCAACCCACAACATTTTGTTTGGACTTCACATTAGCTCGAATATAGAAAACAATCCTGCTACATAACCGTGATGAACGAAGTATTCAGCTAAACCTAAAGCGTATTTTAACTTTACACTCCTGACCTATAACAATGACTTTTATATATTACCGCGTGAAGATACTAGCATTTAAGGTCCTCCTGAAAAGTTCACTTATTGTTCTGCGGTGGAGACCGGAGATTCGTTTGCTTGAGCAGAATATACAGGAGGTTCGGGTGCTGAAAATAATGAGCGTTATTCATGATACTTGACAGAAGTCTTCAAAACTATCAAAAAGAAAAGAAGTTTTACTTAATAAACGGTTTGTTTAAGTGAAATATTTTTATATTTTAAGGCTATGCATTTTTTTCATTAAGTAATGTATAATTATATTAAATGTGTTATTACTCTCAGATCTCTTGCGTAACATTATCTGTTGCGCAAGCTTTACAACAAAAGCAAAGTCGAACACTATATTCAATGCCAAGCATATAGTGTAAATATTCCTTTCAGTAAACTTATAACAGCAAATTTCATTATTATCTTAGTAGAGATTCTATTTACCAAACCGTTTCAAAAGTCCGGAAACGAGAACGATGAATCTGTTAAATTCAAAAAGTTTCAAATGTTTGTCTCTCGCTATCGCGAACCCTCAACTAGTTTTCACTTTTGGAAGCCACAAAAAACAAAATAAATACGAACAGCGTTGTTTTACAGTTCACTAATATAAGTACGGCTTTTTATAACCAGATCAGTTACCATCAAATGATATTTGACACCATAACATGGCAACTCATCAATAAAGACAAATATAAAAAGCAACTTACAACGAACAAAATTATCCCAAGCCAATTTACTATGCTCAACCGCAGTGCGACTGACAGCAATTGTTTCATAAGGATAACAAAATGCAGTCATTGTTAATAAGCCCATTCCAGAATACAGAAATCTGCGGAACACTGATCTAAAAAGTTGACTTGGCAGAATGTAACGTTCAGCATTCTTACTAATGTTGAACTGAACAATATCACACTGACAGCTGATCATTGAACGTTTCATCTATTTCAAATTGGAAATACTGGATACAAATTTGCATAATTAATGATTAACGTTCCAAAATTTTAACTCGATTTTCTAGAATCACAATAATATTAGAACTAACTTTCTCATACCAAGAAAAAAACCAGTAAGACCGCCGACGGTGATTGCAGCGGCTTTCGGTAACAATCCATAATCTTCTTGCAAAAATCGTTTAAATTCTGCAACTAAAAACAATTCTGGAAAAGCTAATGAACGTTTGGGTCTGTTTCACATCCTGTCGCATAAAATCAGACAAAAAGTTCTTTATGGAAGTACATTAATGCATTTTTCCATCTGAACATGTTTGTTCAAGAAAGCATCTCAAAGTTTTCTTAACGTTTCTTTTTAAATTATCAAGTGTAATAAGATTTGATGATTAAAAAACGCATGCACGATTTATCAAAGAGATAACCTTGGGCAGAATCAAAAAACCTTTTCGATTTTTCTTCAGCATTCAGATAGGATTCCTGTAAACATTTTGCATAAATACTATGCACATAAATTATATATGTGAAAGATGCACATTTCATAAAGTGAAAGATGCCTTTTTAGGAAGAGTGATCGGAAGCAGTACATATAACACTTTTTAACTCTCCATTTGAAGAATGGATACAAACCTTTGCTAAGGTCATAAAATTTCGCTATTATTCAAAAGACATTCATGAAAGAGAAATGGATGGGAATAAGGACTGTATGGGAAATTCTTAGTGTTTTCGGTTAAGTCTTGAGTAACAAGGTTTCAAATGATGGTCAGAAATATCTGTCAAGTTCTGAAAAGGATGTGTTCTATCGCATAATAAATTTATTTGTACCTTCCCTTAAACATTTTTTTGCGTTCCATTCTGCATCCATTTCAACACTTCAAGAAATGCTGACAGTAACAAATACTGCAATATATTCAGAAGAAATTACCCCTAAATTTCCAAAGCGTTGTAGAGTGGCCCGTCGTAATAGCGCCATTTCCTTTTGTATCGGCAGAGGCAACTCTTGGACTTCCTTGTAATACGGTGTTTCATCCGGATACATCGGCAACTGTAAAGCTTTTGGGATATTACATTTATTCATCATTCTTGAATGTAATATCTAGAAAACAGCATGTACGCTAGATATTCATGAATTCAGACCCGAGATAAATCATCAGGAACTTGCATGGATTCAACTGCATAATGATAAGGCACGCAAGGAAGATTTTCTAAAAGTTCCAGTGAGCTCAAAAAGAAAAAAAAGTACCGAGTGCACAGTAAGATTTGACAATTCGAAATGCTCGCACACCCTGATCAATAAATGGATTAATGAGAACGATTTGATAATCGACATTTCTTTCCGTCATACAGCCAAGCAAATTACATACATTTAACATCTTTAGATAGTGATGGAAGTGACTAATTAGAATAAATAATACAACCGGAATAATGATTCAGACTAAGTCCTTACTTCCTGAACAGTGACCATTCGTGCGGGATTCGGTTTGGGCCGTTTATCCGCATTGACTGCTGTCCACCAACGTACGATTGAAGATTTGATATCTTCCAGTGTATCGCTCATCTCATGCGTCTCTGTAAAATAAACAAATCTTGAATACAAATCCATGCTTTACCTCATTCTTAATGATCCGGAATTCTTATCATCCAAAATGAATGAACATAGAGGAATCAAATTCTATAGTTGCTTTCCAAAAATCATCATCTTTTAATCTTTATAGTCAAGAATGCCAGCTAAGCCCCGTACCAGTATGATCCCGAGATATACCTCCAACCAGCGATGAATATACTTCTTAGCAAGCTACCTGTCCATTTCTCGGAATGATTTCGAAGTAGGCTTACGTTCGAAATGCGAATACTAGTTCTTGCACAAGTGTTTGAATGGGAGATTGAGTATGTTGATGCACGTTGGGTCATGTTAGGGTACATTGGTGGACTTTGGGTTACGTTAGGGCACGTCGATGGACGTTGGGTTACGTTAGGGGAATGGGTAGTGCGTTCTGGTCGTTATTCTTTTTTTGCATTTTCTACGTATTAGACACTTCACCTCTAAGTTATTTCCGTACACCTGTTCATTTACATTTTTCAATACTTTTATTTTTGCCTTATTTTTTTCACGCATTGAACGCTTTAAAATAGTTTGCACGTTCACATGATGTTCTTTAATCTGATTTATTCACGCATTTTATACAGATCACGTTTTTCTGTGTATTTCGTGTTTTATTGATAATTACTGCTAATATTTTTACATCTCTATATGCTAGAATTTCCTCCTCATTTACCAGACATTTTCCCATTTTTTCTTTTACAAAGATAATAAAAGTTCTACGCAGTGTTTTTTTTTCCAGCGTTATCGTTGACATGAGTAAACGTTCAAAAAAAGACCGTTCATTGCCACCTGCAATATTGCCGCCAGAATCGTTAACACCATCAACAGTACTAAAAGTTGGAGAAACATTCATTGTGCTACGTCGAGCACCGAACAAGAATGGTGTTACAGACGAACGCTGCCTTGCAACGGTAGTGGAAATTCGTGAAGGTGAACAAGCAAGCACATCTTCAGCTTCTACTTCTACAACTATCAACACTGTTGCTACTACTAATTTATCATCGGTAAATTACTTTATCTATGTCGTATGAATGAACAGTGTGTTAGGGTAATAATGATGGTCAAATGTAGAACTCATGAAAACACGCATTACTTATAGAGGCTATTCCTTTCCTTATATCTCGTACATTGATATTGATGTATAGATAAGCAACAGTAGATAAGCGTACAGTAGAAGTCGTGGTAAAATATGTTTTACGGATAAGGAAATATATACTTAATTGACTTATTATTTATAAAAAGTAGGTTTTATTATTTCAGGACAATCATTTCTTTGTATTTTACATGTTTCACAGAAGGAAAGTCGTTTATTCTTAGTGTTTCTTTGAAATATGTAAAATCAATCTTAAAAACTGACAATTCACCCTACTCTTTGAATGAAATATTCGTAAACTAAAGTTATTTTAGGATGATATGGATGTCCGTAAGGTTTGCACAAATCTTTTAAACGATGTGTCGGGCGAAGACGTTCCGGTGGAGGTAGATATTGCTACGAGGTTTGTAGAATAAAAATAAATCCCAGTAAAAAAATTAAAAATGTTGAAGTATACGAAGTTCTGTTGTTAACAGCGATTGCAACAGAAACATCTAAGCCACTTGAGAAATGACGAATGGAATTGATATGGAAAATTAGCTGTTATTTAGCAATTTTGATAGTCTCGCAAAAATTTTCCTTTTTTTCGATTTTTTTTTTTCTGAATTGTAAAGAGTTGTATAAATTTGTATAAACATATAGTTGTTTAGTTCTAACGATTGTTTAAATATTTACGTTTCTATAAGAAGCATTTATATGACTGGTTGTAACTGCATATCTTGTGAAATAATTAAAGTTATTTCCAAATATTTCCTTTCTAGTAGCTTAGTTTTTGGTAAGCCCTTTATTATATGATTTATTGCACTTGCAGGAAAGAACAGTGTAAAATGTATTATGTTCATTACGATGGCATGGATAGACGACTGGATGAATGGGTGGGGAGAAATCGCATTGTGGCAAGAGCAAATCCAAACGCTTTCACTTCTGTTCTGGTATAAGATATTTGACGTATTAACAAGTTTCTTTACAGTTTTTATTACGGAAGTAGTTTGATAAGTCGAATCTGGAACCGGCACATAGTCTAGGGATTACTCGGTCGTTATGTTCTAAATTAAATATTGGATGTTGCTATTGATGGGATTATAGGTTCGGAGTTGTATGGGAACGGATGATCATTTGCCGTTTTCTATGATATTCAGAGTTAGGTACATTATCTCCTGTAAATCAAACAAGAAAATGGAGTCTAATATTGTCTCTTTGTTGTGTTTAAAACATTTTTGATTTTGCCCCTATAGCTTGATGCTCGTTGCGTGCATTGCAGTACGGTTGATTTTTTTTTCTTTTTTTTTGTAGTCAGTACCATCATCTTTGGCCGGTACACTAGAAAGTGGAACGTTAACTCGAAGTCAGCGGCGGATACACGAAGAATTCAATCATGTGCAAAAAAGTTACGAAGATATGGATGCAACAACGGCAAAGCTAGAAAAAGAGCATGCGGAGGTATTTATATTTGATAATTTATTCTCTTTATCCTAATTAGTTAATTCATCAATAAGTACCGCATCATATAAATTCTTTGGATAGCTTGACGACGTTTGGTTTATGTCGTTAATAGCTGATGTGTTGTGTTAAAATCTTGTTCTGTCCCTTATATTTATATTCATACGTAATCTTGACAAATCTGACATTATTCCTTTCTCAGAATTGAGATTAATGTTTGAAATGATTAGATATACCTTACTTTTTGTCCAATAAAAATAGTCATCCATATTAATACACGTATTGCTTCGCAGAATTCATCAAGATTCTTTTCATTTTAGTCAGAACACTTAGTATTCTAAAATCTTTTATCATTATATTCTATCCATTATATTCTTTCTATTCTTCCGTTTCTTATCAAAGGTATGTTTTTTATTTTGTAATAGATCGTTTAGATGACAAAAGTAAAAAATATCGATAAGATACGTTACGGTGATTATGAGATAGACGCTTGGTACGTCTCGCCATATCCGGATGAATATAGTAAGGCAGCAATATTGTACATATGTGAATACTGCTTAGCATATATGCGAAGCGAAGCGGAATACTGCTGTCATATGGTTAGAATCCTTCTTACTTTTCCTGTTTTATCCCACCTAGGAATTCTCGGGATATGGCTTTTTTCCAGAAAACTAGCTCTTCTTTAACCGAACGTTTGCAGTTACATTACTGTGATCGACGACAACCTCCAGGAGACGAAATATATCGAGATGGGAATTTATCAGTTTATGAAGTTGATGGGAAAGCAAATAAGGTAGATTTTTTTCTAATCAGAAATGTCTTTTCTGTTTCTAATTTCATTTGCTTTGAAAAAGATGGCACAAATGAAATATATTTTGTTGTTTAGGCTTACTGCCAATGTCTTTGCTTGCTGTCGAAATTATTCCTGGATCATAAAACATTATTTTTTGATGTTGAAACTTTCCTATTTTATGTTTTGTGTGAGGTAAGTAAAGCTTTTATTGTTTCAGAAGTAAGGGGATTTTATTAACAATTATTATTTGCCAAAGATTGTTGTACTTCAAGGTACTATATTTCCCATTCCATTAAGAAGATACGCGTCGAAGTAACCTCACATTCTTTTCATATATGTTATGGTAACGAAATTATCAGTAATAGCAATGTGAATAGAACGAGGTGCAGGTTACAAGCCATTCGAATTTTGTATATATTTACCATCATCTATTTAGGTTGATGAAGTAGGCGCTCACGTTGTTGGTCACTTTTCTAAAGAACGGCTTTCTGCAAACAATCTTGCATGCATTATGGTTTTGCCTCCATTTCAACGAAAAGGCTACGGAAAATTGCTTATACAATTGAGTAAGTTCTTTTGGTTTTCCGTACTGCATTAATTTCAAAGTATCATAAATGTCTGTTATCAACTATTTAAGCCGTTCAGTCATTTTTTTAATATTTGTTAACAGGTTATGAATTGTCTAGCCGTGAGGGAGTGATTGGAACGCCCGAAAAACCACTATCGGATTTGGGAAAAGTTAGTTACCGTAGCTATTGGTGGTGGATATTATTGGAAGCCCTTGACAGGCTGAATATCGATGATGTGACGGTAAGGATGATCTGAAGTTAATCGTTTAACTTTTTTCATGATTTAAACCTACTAATCAATTTCAGTTAATTATCAGGTTTTAAATAAGATAATTATTATGAACGTGAAATCTGTGGTGGTGTCATTATAAATAAATGTCTTGTCTACTGTTCTTGTTATGGTTTTTTTAAAGATGGAAGGAAAGAGAGAGGAATGCGTGCATTGCTGAATGTTGTTTTTTGATATTTTAGGTATCAGACTTGAGTTCTGCTTCTGGTGTGGCCGAAGATGATATAATCTCAACGTTACAAACTATGCAGTTAATTAAATATTGGAAAGGAGATCATGTCGTGCGGATGACAAGACGCCTTGTTGAACATTGTAAATCGATTAATATGGGACGACCACCCAAGTTACTTCTTGACCCTGATCTTCTACGTTGGTGGCCAAAGAAACGGCGTCAAATCAGTCATCGCGACAGAGACTGATTGTTAGAGATGAAATTTCACATACTGGAGAAGCCCAAACATTGTCCAGAACGTATATGAAATTTGTAAAAATCAGATACTGAAGAACGTTTTCTCTGTTGCTTATTATATAAAGAAATTTATTGTCATCTCTCAAAAGTTTCCAATATTATTTCGATAAATTGATGCTGCAATATGATGTTAAAATCTTAGTGACATATTCTTGAGAAACTCATGCGAGCTCTCTGAAGATGATATCCCACACATTCTTTGGTTGATCCGTGCGCCAACGATTTGGAGCTTGCTTATACATTTAGGAGTATTGCTAAACATTGAATGAATCTGATTTTTTTGAATAGTTTTAGTTTGTAAGGAATTTAGCTCCGAACA